CCAGACATGTAGGACTGACTGCGCATGCGCCGGGGAGCGCCCCCTGCCGTGTGCGCCTGTCCCTGCACAACCCTTGCGGCTAGGCTCAGCTTGGGCCGACGTCTGTGCTCGGAGGTCAAACTCCGTTCATGACATAGTCGGTAAGACGGCGCTGGTGTCGAAAGTATGTCTCACGTGTTCCTGTACCTGTCCATCCTCCACCCCTCGATTCGTCCGTCGCACGGCTCATCCCCTGCGCTTTTCTTCAGCGCGCAGGTTTCTCGGGCGGGCGTTCGGGCAGGGATCGGGACTGAAAGCGATGGGAATGAGCGGTGTTTGGCCCAGCCAGCATGCGGGCGCCATCCAGATGATCGTCTCGGGCGTCTCGATGCGCGGGCGCAGATGGCGATGTGTGGCACAAATGCCCATTGGAAACGACGAGAGAGCGCATGGTCAGGGGTGTATAAGAGCGCAGGGTCGGGGGTGTATAAGAGCGCAGGGTCGGGGGTGTATAAGGCGGTATGGTCAGGTGTATAACGCTGTATAGACGGGTGTGTAGCGCTGTATAGATGAGTGTATAATGCTGTATAGACGGGTGTGTAAAACTGTATAGACGGGCGCATGGTCACAGTCGTATAGAATCGTATAGATAAGCTCATTATCAGTCTTATGCGCACGTCGTACAGATGGTCTTCTACACAGCAAGCGCCCGGGCACTCTGACACATTCCCTCGTCGCACTCGCTCTTTGCGCGGAATTCAGCATCTTCTACCACGCTCTGTGCGATCCTCCCAGGCTTTCCGCCTCTGCAAATCCCGCCTCTGCAATCTAGCTGTCAGCGACAAGGCAAACACTCGTCTCGCTCACCTGCAGGAACACGCGTCCGCGGCCTCCATCGCACAGTCGAACGCGGTCCTAAGCGCGGCCTTGTACATGTCGCGCCGGGCAGCGTCCTTGCCTCCCTCGCCTGCGAGCCGCTCGCGCAGGATGAGGAGCAGCTCCTGGACGAGGTCAGCCGGGCACGCGCCTAGCACAACCATCCACAGGAGCTCGAGGTATGCGGTGAGGTCGATGCGCGCGCAGTCCTGCGCGAGGCGCTCAAGGGCCGTGAGGGCCACGATGCCGAAGTGGGTGGCTGAGCAGACAACATTGACGTCTCCTCACCAATGTTCAGCGAATTGCCCGGGCACCCGCCCATTGCCGCTTCCGCGCGCGAGCGCACTGAAGCCCAGCCCGGGCTATTATATGCCCAAAAGCGGTCGGAAGTGGTTTGTGCGCGAGCTCACTTTCTTCTTCACAGCTCACCTGCCACCGCCGTGCGCCAGCGGAAGAACAAGACCGAGTCAGCATGCGAGCACGACGTGAGGCGAGTAAGACCACGTACATTTGGTAGTGCAAATCACCCTGTCGCGCGCACAGCACCACCATTTCCAGCACCTCCGTTCCCGTGCTCACCGGCAGGCCTGCCCGCTCCTCGGGTGATGCGACACCGCGCACAGAAGCATCTATAAGTGGAGTTGGATCAGCGTTGGCGCATTCATGCGTGTGAGCTGCGCTGCGTACAAGGGCATGGGCGAGGCCGTCTGCGAGCCGTACAAGGGCCGTGAGGACGATGATTGCTGCCACCAGCACCTGAGTTCGTCGCAGGGATATGCGCCTGCAGCCTCCTCTGCGTGGTCGAACATGATCCCGAGCATGGCTTTGTACACATAGCACTGAGCCGCGCCCGTGTCTGCATCCTCACCCCCCTTGCCCGCGGAGGGCTGCTTGTGCAGGACGAGGAGCAGCTCCTAGATGAGGTCGACCAGGCGCATGCCTAGTGCGACACTCTACAGGAGGTCCAAGTTCGGCGCGTGCGCGGGGGACTGACGCTGGGGGCGCGGGTAAGGCTGCTGAGTGCCCACTTGCTGGCATGCGGGTGCGTATTGATGGCGTAGGCGTTGGCGTGCTGGGCAAAGGGCTCAGAGATGAGCTTGATGGTGAAGCCGCGCGACGAGGATGTTTGCGGCGATGTCTGTGAGGGCGGACACATCTGCCGTGAGCTCATGGAGGAGGAGGCCGAGCGAGATGACCGGGGGATTGGAGGTGACCATGGGTCAGCGCGAGCATGGACTGCAGGAGGAGTGCGCAGAGGGTACCTAAAGGGGGCCAGGTTCTCGACGCCGTCAGCAGAGAATGCGATCGGATGCGGGACGATGCCACCCACCATCAACTGTGGGCAGAGCACTGTGAGCAGCGGCTGGCGCGAGCACACGTCTGGGATGCACGATGTGGCTACAGAAGGCGTTAGTAGTGGAATCAGACTGTAGATGGGAGGGCGCGGCAGCAGAAGAGACAGATAGCACAAGAGCGACCATGACAAGCAGCGCCAAGGGATGATGGACAAGATAGGATGAAAACCATTGGGGGCGCACGCGATAGGGCTCGAATATAGTAGGCACTGGACTCACTACTCAATGTGCAAACCAAAAACTGGGTGCGCTACACAGTTCTGGATGGCTTCACATCAGATGGAATCGAGTCGAGAGGCAGCCAGGGAGAAGTAGAGACATCGCACGGGACACCATAGCTACCAGTTTCCCATATACGCAGTTACGCCCATGTCAGGTGTCTCCGCATCGCGCGCTGATGTATAAGAACCAATCAATATACTGGAGATGCTTGTGTCCGTGCTGATCGCATGCGTACCCTCGCAACGTTGCAATAGGTAATATCAGAATGCTGGCATATGGGAATGTAGGTACTAGGTATGGAACAATCACTGTAATCACGTTCTCGTATTACTCCCAGTCATCGGCATCCTCAATCGTCTCGGCAAGTGACCGGGCATCAGATGAGAAATCCTCGATTGTTTCCGGAGCTGACGAGTTGCCATATTGGTCACCATCAACAATATCGAGATCCAGCCTGCGCCGTTTGCAAATCCGGCTCTCGTCCTCATCAGCTGACTCTGTCCCGCTCCCGATATTCCCACCGGCAGCGGCATCTGCATCCGAGCCGACATCAGAGTTTTCGATGATCAGTGCGCTTTTCGGGACCTTGTGACCCCGTCGCTTCCGCTTCATCGGCTCCCTCTTGTCAGCAAACACATGCGAGTGCCCGGCATCACTCCTTGTGTGTCGCCGAAGCTCGAGCCTGACAGGTCTCCTTGCCAGATCCAGAAGCTCAAACCGCATTTTGCCTGTTCGCCACTTTGAAAGCAGGTTGTCGAGGATGTCGCATCCCCCGATCGTGCTCAGGTTTGTGCGAGCAATGTCAGTTGGCCATCCTACAAGAGCAACACCATACGGCAGCTCAACTCGCTGGTGAAAGTCAACTGCGGTCCACGACATTTTGATGGATCGGTTGCCCGTAATCTCGCCTAGACAAGCATCAGATTGGTAAGCGAGCGTGAGAAGCAAGAATACATACGGAGATCTTCGGTCATGACATCACGCAATGCACCTTTGAGTCGTCGATAGCGTGTTTTGTACAGCTGCCATGGCCGTGACAGTGGCTGCAGACGGTTCTCGCCAGTCATGAAGAACAGCCCAATGCGAGTCTACACACAGTCTGAGGTCAGTAACAGAACAGTGCGAAGAACAACAAATGGTAGTACATTTTGCGGGCGGAAAGTGCGACTGTACAGAATCGGCCATCAGTAAGCTTTTGGTTTATTTATGGCCAAGTCACATCTCTCGCTTGGTAGGTTATCTCATGGGCAGGTGAGTTCCCCGTTGTTTCACCATTTCACCGTCAACCACTAGGCAGTGCATGCGATTGCAAGGGCGGACGGGACATGGCAGCCGCGACGGCAGTGACACACACAGAGATGAGCGACTCGACTCGATGACGTTCGCAATGGCTGCCGTGCGCCACTCCTCCGTTCCGAGTTACTGTACATCGCTGCCGCGAGTGTAGGAGACTGTGCGCACACGCGCACGCTCATCTGCAACACTGCCCATGCGGTTGCTCAGAGCTCATGCTGTCGTGGGCCGGGCATGCATATCGAAAAGAAGACGGTGGGGGAGATGTCGTGCAGAGCGCGGGCACAGACCCAGTGCACGCAGACCGACGCAGATGGTTTCGCGACAGTAGACGAAAGTGAGTCTTGTGCTATTCGACGTGTCCCGGCGATCACCCATCTCATTCGAATAGACGTACTGCAGCGCGCAGCTCAATGCATTCGGCTGTGCACCCATCCTCCGTCTCCACTCAATAGTCACTGCGACGACCACCGTATGCCGCCCCTCCGCTCCGGGCTGCCATGTGTTCCTGCAGGGCACTTCAAAGACAGTCTGGTCGGCAGGTCCGCATCGGCACCTCACGCTAAGGTGGATAGCGACGTGGATGGTCAGTCTTGACCCTGCAATTACGCACCACACACTTCAGTGGCGCGAATGAAAATATATATTAGATTTCAGTACACATTCGTAGTAATGCTGCTACTGCTGCAGGCGCGCACGACGGCCGAGTGCGTGCACGACAGCACGGGCAGCGTGTCCTGACCGAGTATGGAAGACGGCGCGCACACGCATCCCACCCCCGACGCTGCCCATGGCGTGAACATGACACATCAATTGGAATAGAATACGTACCATAACCGCCACCATATGGCAGCTCCCGCTGGTTTCACCGCGCAGATTGATGTTACAGCACTCTGCCGTAAGACGGCGGTTCATCCGAACATTCGTTCAGCGGATTCCACGCCTTTCCGCACCGTCGCGACCGCCAAGCCGGGTATTTGCACCAGGCGTACTGATGCGTTGTGATCGCGCAGTGCTGTACGAGCAGAGCGGCTTGGTTTTGTGTCCGACACACGACAGCTCGGGAGGGCTCTCCCGTCTGACTTGTTTTGATTGACAGACAGGCACCGTCAGCCCCTCCTGTGGTCGGGGTGTGCAAGTCCGTACCGCGATCACGTCAGCGCGGTCTCGTCATGCGTGCTGCTCGGTGCTGTTTGTATCGCCATTTGCCTTGTTTGCCTGACTGATGGTGTCTGACCGGGTACGCAATGTCAGTGCTGAATCTTCGCACCAGGCGCGTCACTCTAGCACCGGACGCTGCATGGGCATGGGCACGGCATAAATTGTGCGGGGACGCTGCGGGCGACGCAGGAGTCACCGCCGTAGCAATACGGGTAAAGGACGATGCTGGGGTGTTGCGGCCGGTAGATCTGGAGGGTACGTCAGTGAATCCGTCCATCCACGTCAGGCAGAATGACCGCGCCCGGGTACACGGGCGGGGACGCGGGGACCTGTCATCATGAGTGATAGCTTAGCGATGCGGCAGCCGACGTGAGACAGGGGCCATCGCGCCTGGGTGAGATGTCCAAGCGGCAGTCGTGGGAATAGCGACGGATCAGGAGAGCGTGCGAGGGATTTAAAGGCGAGTGTCATTGAAGATTCCTTCATTGTTGACGACTTCGCTTCCGCTGTGCCAATGTTTGTCTCACGCGCCCGCTGTCCAGCACGGACGCTGATCTGGTAAGTTCCGTCGCGTTGCAGAGTGAGATATCGCGCCGCTCACCATGTACACCACTGTAGGCGTGCAGTAGACCGTTGCCCTGTGTAGCGCATATCA